GCCTCATTTTGCGACCAATTCGGGTTGCAACCAGAGTCATGGAACGGATTAAATTCGTAACTCGAGGTTCCACTGTAGATACAAATCCAGGTTGTGCTTGAAAACACCTTTGTGGCTCTCAGCACAAGAAGCATTTTATAGACGGGAAATAATAGTCAACAGACAAACGGTTAACATACTGGAGATACTAGAATTTTGTCAAGGGGAACGCAAAATAAAATCAAGAGAACAACTGATGGCAGAGGGACATATTGTCAATGGTTTTCCTATTTACAGTTATTGGAAAGATTCAAAATAGACTAAAGCATTTATGGTATTGAATATTCTGACTTTGAAACTGAATTGTGTACAAATGATGCACGTGTGCGATTGCTAAAATGTATGAACGTTTATTGAAAGTTGAAACAGAAGAAGAACAAGTGAAAGAATGTATGATAAAGTGGGCTACATTTTTTTTGTTATAATATACAGATGGAATAATGGGAAAATATGTGGTTAAAAGGACTGAAATTTACACTATGCTCTAATCTTAAAGAGATTTTTTAATAAAATGATGGACCTACTGTTGGTATCTGTCACCAGAGAAATTGTCTAGAATGTATAAAGGCACTTCAAATTTATGTTGGAAAGGTGAACAAGAAGGGACATTTTATCATGGATGTGTAAAAAAGCTAGAAAATTCTGGATTCAAATGCATACATTGCTTCAGAGGATTTTAAAGATTAATATACAATTGAGACCAGAGGTTTTTCTTTGGGGATTGATGGACAAACAGTTGGAAAAAAGTCATGGAATTTTGTTTTTACACATGAGAACTTTGGTGAGATTATTGCATGCACAAAGATGGAAAGATTCAACATTACCCACCATGGAGGAACGGTTGGTGAAGATGATGGAACTTGCTGAGATGGCCAAATTGACTTCTTTGATCAAAGACAATATCTATGTTTATTGCTGACTGGAAACCCCTTTTGGATTTTTTGCGTAAAACAGAAAAAAATGAACTTACGAATTATGGTTTTGATGATTAGACAGGATAGATTATAGAAAGAAGAGAGTTATATTGTAACCAT